ATGACTTGAATGTCTCGTATTTCTCGAAATAGTGATAATTTATGTATATATTTTTAGTGAATTAGAAAGAAGCTTATGACTAACAAGCGAGATGTCTCAAAAATATGTCGAAAATTTTAAAATTCTCACTTTTTTGAGTGTTTGTTACTTTTTCTTTTAATTTTCTTCATTTTTTAGTTTTTGTCACCTTTTTAATATCTGTCACTTTTTTGAATATTTGCAAATTTTTTATTAGGACTTTGCTCATGTATATTAAGGTTTATCTAAGGGATTACAAAATATCTATGCGACACTCTATCATTTGTCAATTTAAAATACAATTAATTTTTTCATCCAATCTTTTCTCTCACATCATCTTTGGTAATTGTTATGTTCCATTTTTATGTACAAAAAGCAAAATTCTTTTTATTATTAGTCACTTTTTTGGAGTGCTTGTCATTTTTTATCGTTCTTCATTTTTTTAGTTTTTCTCACTTTTTTGAAATGTTTGTCATTTTTTTTTATATTTGTCACTTCTTTTATCGTTTGTGCGTCTTTTTTTTGGAGTGCTTGTCACTTTTTATTGTTTAACACTTTTTTATTAAAAAAGTGTCATTGTATATCACTTTTTAATACTTAACTTTACAAAGTATTTTTTACTTTCAAATTATTTTTATATGATTGTTCAAAAGACATCTAATTTTAAGAGTATTTCCATAAGGCCACGTTTGATAGGCTTATATTTTTCTTGGAAAATGAAAAATCCATCTTTTATATGTTTGATGACACAAATTTGGCATGGAATTCCTTTTCCATCTTTTGTTGCCACATAAGCAAATTACACCAAGTGGTAGAAATTCAATTCTCACCAAAATGGTGGGAATTGAAATTCCACTTTTTGACGTATTTTTTTTTTTATTTTGCAATTAAAATAAATTTTAAGAATTATTGTAATAAATTTCATCTCTTTAATTGACAATTTTCATGTATTACAAAGCCAAACGAATACCAAAAGATAGATGATTTTCTTTAATTTTATTTATTTATTTTGCAATAGAAACAAATTTTAATCCCAATGTCAGTAAAATCTATCCCTTTAATTGACAATTATCATATAAAATAAAGCCAAACGAACCTCAAAAGATACTTTTATTTCAATATTTTCCACATGAAAAATTATACCAATCAAACACAATAATTTACAATTTTCAAGAAATAATTTCTAGGCAATTCAATTCTCTGAAATCCGTTTTCAATTTAATTCAATTCCATCTTTGTAATCAAACAAACCCTAAATTGCTTGTTTAGAAAATCTTCTAAAAGTACTACAAGTCGAACCCAATTGCTTATATGTTGGTAGCAAACAATAAATCATTCTCTTGTTTATCGTAACTTGTAAAAATAAGACCAAATAAAGCACAATATGCAATCTTAGCTTAGATTTCTATAATGTTCTCGCAAATGCTACGTATTCCTAGCCTCCAAAATTGAATAAGTATTTTATATGCATGGAAACAAAGTCACCCCTACTATCCCTTCTGATGTTAGCGTCCCATGGCTCTAATCCATGTGAAAGTTCTTATGCCCCTTACCCTACATAGATCTCCATATCCCCCTGTTGGGCCCCATTACTTGACTCCCTTTGTATCCCACTTTTCTCTCTTGCACTTCTTTTCCTCCATTCCGAACGTGAATTTTCTAACATGTTACTCCAACACCAATCAACAGAAAAGTGTACGATGGTCGAATTAAATGTGTAAAATGAGTCAATTAAATTATTTTGGTATAGATGTGAGGCACGTCCTACGATAAAGGACTCAACACATTTCCCTTTTTTCTAATCTTTGAACAAAAATTCAATCGTGTTAGACTTCTTGTGTAGGGCAGAATAATGCAATTTCTCAAGCCAAACTTGGACAGGACTCTAGTGTGGCAGTGGCGGAGCCAATACCCCGTGAGGTAGCGCCGTCGCCCGTGCTGACTCTGTCGGAATTTACGGGTGCAGAATTGAAGTTTTCAGAACTTGCCTCCATTGCTGGAAAGACAGTGAATTGAGGAAGAAAGAAGATTGGGGAAGATGAGAGTTGGGCATTTTTTTTCTACTTAGGCCTTTTTTGGTTGAGCCACCCATTATTTTTTTCCCAATGCCCATAGTCATTTACGACATTTCTCAATTCACAACCACTGAACCATAGCTTCAGAAAGCTAAACACCCGATTCCGAACCTAATGTTCTACCATGGTTCCCGATGTTGTCAAACCCTCAAGACAAAAATTACTTAAATTGATTATACCAATTATGAATGCACAGAATGGTGTTATATATGAGATCTAAACTAAAGTTGGTAGGTACGTGACTTGGATTTCTATCAGTTTTTTCTTGTGCTTTTTTAGACTTTTCTTAAAATGTTGCCATGCGTACAAATGGTTAGACAGTTTAATGTCAATCCTTAGAAGAATATTTATCATGATTGTTGTTTCAGTGTATTTACATATAGATTGAAGAATTTTTAATATTATTTAATTGAATATCAATAAACAACATCTCTATTATGGTCATCGACGGTTAATGGTCAACGACTGTCCTAACTGATCTCTAATCCTGGATCCATCACTACTAGTGCCAAAGAGGTGTGGTCGACATGGGCCTGTGCGTTTTACACAATAGGCAGCCTAATCTTGTGTACTCCAATATTTTGACGTGTTAAATTGTTCAAACCTAAATAAACCAATTTTAGTTGTTTCTTAATATCCAGTGGTTCCTCCCTCCTCGAATAAGTGCTTAGCATTCCTATCAAAGTGCTTCCGAGTTATTACGGTTTGCATTGGCTTCAAACCATTCAACGTAGAAATGGCTTCCAAAGATTTTTGTGGCTTGTAGACATGGGTGGCAATCGGCCAAGCTGGCCTAGCTTGACTCGGCCCGTTGGCTTGGGCCTCTTGGCCAAACTGTTAGTTTCTTTCATTTAAAAATAAAAATAAAAAAATTGACAAAATAAATCCTAAAAAGTAAATCTTTTATAAAAATTTAATAAATTAAGTAAAAAAAAAAAAAGAGCTAGTCCACGAGTCCAAATAAGTCAAGCCTGCCCAGCTCATTTTTGTGATTGGCTCGACCCTCGGTTCATCCCTATAAATGATCAAGCAACCTAATTCACGAGCTCGGCGTAGAGAAACAATGAACTAGAATAGAAGAGCTTGCTCCACCCATCAGTAAATATTTCATAGTAGTCTAGTGCCACCCCAAGCTTGTGGAGAGTCGAAACATTAGCCATTCTACATCCGTCTTCAGGCTTCAGCTAAGGACATTGTTCGGCTCGTCATAGTCGATTATGAATCAATTCATGGGTTCAGTGTCTAGGCTATAGGATGTGGCCATTTCATAAATGGCAAACAATGACTAAAAAGTTAAAATAAAGAGTCTATTGGATCTTTTTTTTTAAGTATTAACTCTCTAAAATAAAAAAATAAATATATTTTATGTTTACAGAATCTCTTGAAAATTAAATGCTAACAAAACCATTAATTGAAAATCAAAAGTGCACACAGTGTAGAAGTAGCGTCCTACCCTTGTTATAGGTTATTGATTTTTTTTATTATTTTTTTTAATATCACAGTTGAATTTATCTATTTTTATCAACAAACCTAGTAGATTAGTTGCAGCTATTTATATAAATAAGGAAGAAGATGAACGCTCAAAATTATTGGACAAACTTAGCCCATGTTTGAGCCCCTCCATAAGAGAAAAATAGATTTTGCAATAATGACTTTTTGGAAAATGTGTGATTAAAAAGTAGGAGAAAGTTTTGGACTTACGTACAAAATTATTTCATTGAAAAAATATGTAATTAAAAATAAGTTTGAAAAAAATGGAATTTTAGATAATGGGGCTCAAACAGGGGCTTAGTTTGTTCCACTCGAAAAGTTGACTCGATAATTTTAACCATAACACTTGCAACTTTGCACATAAATTGAGCTCAAGTTTGTGCTCCATTTTTATTTTTTTTTTAAATGAAATTTATTTCAACCATATATTTTTTCATAAAATAATATTACATGCATTACTAAAAAAATCTATATTTCAATTTTTTTTTAAATATCATTTTAATGGAGTTTAATATTGTTATTTATAGTAAGAACTATTAGTAATCGTCATACATGACATATATATGACAGTTTGTCATTTGAAATACAATGTAATAAAAAATCACTATATTAATCTATCAAATAATAAATTGTCATGTAGGAAAATTATGGTGTGTTTGATAGGGTGGAAATGAAATTGGAAGATGAAATTGGAATTTAATTTTTCAACTTTAGGTGTTTGATACATTTTTTTTCCATGGAATTCGAATTCTTGGTTGTCTTGAAATTTGGACTTTTCTTGATTTTTAAGGAAAACCAATTCCCACCATATATGGTGGGAAATTGATTTTCCTATCTACCTGTAGCATTTTTTTTCTTTTTTTTTTGTTGGCAATGGAAACAAATTCTAAAAATTATTGTAAAAAAATATTTCCCTTTAAATGACAATTTTCATGTAAAACAAAGCAAAACGAACACCGAAAGATAGATTATTTTCTTGAAATTTTTTTTTTTTTTTGTGTTGGCAATGGTGGAAACAAATTTAATTCCCAATACCAGTAAAATATATCCCTTTAATTGACAATTTTCATGTAAAACAAAATCAAATGAACAACAAAAAATACTTTTATTTCAACATTTTTTACCTAAAAAATTATACCAATCAAACACAATGATTTACAATTCTCAGAAAAATAATTTTAGACAATTCAATTTCATAAAATTCATTTTTTAGGAAATTCAATTCTATCTTTGCAATATAGATAGTTTTTATTGTAAATTGCTTTCCAGTTTACACTGATAAAAAAACACAAAGGAGAAAACGATATTTCACGTGAGCCGATCACGAAGTACACTGTCACAGTGCTTAGAATCGGAAGATGTGAAAAGGTCAGTCGAGACGATTCTCCTGCACGTGAACACCCTAGATAACGCCCCATACGTGCGATTCCCACGTGTGGATCAGATCAATCACTGACCGTCAACTTCTCTCTTCTTTTGACCAACGATAATCCGGGATTCTAATTCTTCGGAAGCTTCTCTTTTTACCCCCCATAATAATCCAATCAGATTCCACTAATTAACCCACAAATGCATCAAAATTTTGGTCCCTCTCTGATTTCTCTCTAAAATTGTTTGTACGCCATGAGCTCTACCTCTGCTGCCTCACGCAAGGTACCGTTTTTTATTCCAATTCATCAGTTTTTTGTTCCAAGCATACGTTGTAGGTATAGGTAAATTAGTGGATGTATATGTAGTATAGCCCTAGGAATAATAATTATTATCATTATTATTTTTTGTGAAAATTGATCGGGTGATTTATTAGGCTTTGAGTAAGATTGCATGCAATCGGCTACAGAAAGAGCTTACGGAATGGCAGGTGAATCCGCCGACGGGTTTCAAGCACAAAGTAACAGATAATCTGCAGAGGTTTTTGTTCTTTTCTTTTCTTTGCAAAGGGTTTTGTTCTTTTCTTTTTAATTTTCATTGATTTGGTGTTCAGTTTATTTGATTGATTGAAAAATCGGAAATTTGTTGTAATAATAAATTTAATTTTGGTGGTAATAGATGGGTAATTGAAGTCAACGGTGCACCGGGGACTCTGTACGCAGGTGAAACGTATCAGCTGCAGGTGGATTTTCCGGAGCATTACCCAATGGAAGCGCCTCAGGTGAATATTCAAATGATTTGACTTCTTCATTTTCTATATTTAGTTTTATTGAATAAATCCACAAAGGGAAGCTTCTTTGACCTAGTTGTTTAGGGTTTGAGGTCTTTAATTTTCTTCATTATAATGCTAGGCAAACATAGGAGTTGACACAAGCTCTAACCGTGGAAATTTTGAACTTGAAAAATTTGAAATGGAAAACAGTACCAGGATTGGTGGTGCAGGTTTAATTGAATTTTCTAAAATACAGTCAAGGTATTCAAAACCACTTTATCTACATCTTCACTGATACACAAACCTTGGATTAACACTGTAGGGTGAAATGAAGGCTCCAACTTCTAATTCAGTCACATTCGATCTTGTTCCAAATAATATGAAAATATATATATACACATAACCTGAACATGGTACACCCACACATGTTGAATTTAAAGTATATGAAGATATACACAAGCTCAACTCCATTAAGACTGCCATGTACACAGAATCGAACAATTATTTTCCGTACACATGGATCTGTCGAAAAAGATGGGTGGTGGTGGGTCAGTTTCTTTGAGACTTTGTCCAATAAATTGGGAAAAGGACTCTGTCGTGGTCTTCTTCTTTCTTGTCGTGGTCTTCCTCTTTCTTAGGTGCAGATGGCGAAGACAGCCGAACTTGTGCTGCAGGGATGAGGGAAGTCAGAGGAGGGTTTCTTCTTGCAACTTGGCGGGACAGAGTTATGGTAGATGGGTTTTGATTTTGGGACAACCATTTTGTTGTGTTTTTAAAATCCACCAGAATACATATTAACATAATCCGCTTTTACAAATTTCCACGTCATTCGGTTAGAGCTTGTGTTGACCCTTATGTTCATCTAGCATTATTGTTTTCTTCAATGGTGATTGAGATTAGGTTCATTTAATTAGATTGAATTTTTGTTTTTCCTTGGGCAGGTTATATTTATACCTCCCGCTCCACTTCACCCTCACATTTATAGCAATGGGCATATATGTCTAGGTCTGTTTCTCTATGCCCTTTGAATTTCATTAACCATTTTGCAGGTTTGGATTTTTATAATATATGTTTGTTGTTTTAATATATTCCTTTCCCTTTTGGTTTATGATTGGTATTGTGTACTTGCTGCCAACTTGGTTAAAGTGAACGAACATATTAAATTAGTTTTTGATCTACTTCCTATAAAATTAATATCATGTCCTCCTACGAAATATAAAATAAAATGTTTCGATCAGTGTCTTCATTTCATGGAAGTGTTCAAGTGGTTTAAGGCTGAAGAGCAGTTCAAGTTTGAAAATAGAGCAGGTTTGGTACCTACAACGGCTTTGTCTCTGTCCTCTGTAGGTAGAAAGAGGGGGCGAATGTGTTTCATAGTATGCTTCCATTATATTGAGGCTCTAGACACTTCGTTGCATAGTTAGAGTTAGCTAACAGTCTTGACCGACTGAATGGAGAAGCATCTGTACTACTGCTTCTGTAGCACTGATATCTTACTCTGCATAATGAGAGTGGTGTGTCATCAGTAAGTTAAAGGAACGGATGGGGATGGTTTCTTCAGTTTGAGATATATCTAAATTATGCTCATGATTTTTGAAATTCCTATTTCAGCTTTATCTCTGTATAAGTCATTCTTAGAAGTGTAATGTAGGTCCTGTCGGGCCTGCCTTTTTTAACTTTATGTCTTCATAAGGATGTGAAATAGGATGACAGACAAAGATGTGAAAAATACATTAGAACCATTATTTAATTCATTTTTGAAATTTCTGCATGTGCAAAGTACTATCTTATTCCAATCTACACTCCACGACAAGATGTATTATGTATTGCAATAATATACTAGGTTGTCACCAACTTGACAATCAATCATAGTATCAATTATAGGAATTTTAAATTGTACACATTACATGATTTTATTAATCATTCACTGTCTTGTACTTTGAGATTGTTGAAGTAGTTTGTTTTGGCTTCTACTGCTCAACTTTCTAATCTTATATTCAGAACGCTTTGTTTTCCCAATTTTTTTTCCACATACACTCCAAAAAATGCCTTCGCGCCAGGATTGTCCTTCATTCTTTCAGCACCATGTTCTTTGCAATAAAACAGACTTTGATATTACTCTCCAGGCCGGAAGTGTTGAAGTGTTAATAGATTACGAGTCATAGCCCAAAGTAAAAGAAATACCTATTAATTTAAGGTTTTCATTCGTTTCATTATAATCTTCCAAACAATCAGACTGCAAAGTACTTCTAGAAATTGTAATTTAAGGTTTACATGTACGTATTGTCTTTGTGCTGCGGATTTTCAGTGTACGTGAATGATAATTTGTTCACAGCCACGTAGCACCTAAATGGCTAAACTTCTAAACCTTCTCTCGATTTTACCTGTGCATAAGAAATGTTGTTAGATTGCCCTAGATTCTATTATTTCTGTTTAAATTAGTATTCACCATCCATGTGCAGCACTGACTCTTGTATGTACCTTAAGTTTTCATTCAACATCTGAAACATCTCCAAAATATTGGAGTGTAGAACTCCAAGGTGGTAATTGTAATTAAATTTATGTTGAGTAAAATTATCATTATATCATCTAAATAATATTTGTGATGAAATACGTTCAGTATCAAAAAATGCATTAAGGTTTGAACCTGTGCATCTATTTTATGAAAAAGTGTGCCTTAGTTTAAATTTTTAAGTTGGGCAATTGAGATAGCTATTACAGTGTTCTGTTTCCAAATCAACATGTGGTGTGATGTTAGTCCTATGTTTTACACATGTGCCTTGAACCTTGAAGAGTTATGTGGAGTGCACGAGTTGGTTGGAATGTACATTCATCATTGGAGTCTTCAGTACCGGGCTTTCTAAGAAGATTTTGGATATCTGTCAGGCAAATTGGTTCCCCCCCCCCAACTTTTAAATGAAAATTATTATGCATAAGATTTCTCAGTGATTTTTGAATTTAGAATGACATGGAACAAGGTAATTGAAAAATGCTGAAGTTCATGGATGAGGTAATTAGATAGAATTTGAGCCTTATGGTTTAAATATCGAACTGTTACTTCATATAACAGATTGGTAGAGGTAAATCCAGGTAGTTGAATCAACCCTTTTATAAATCTGAGAAGGGTTTTATTGAATTGAGAATTAGCCTTCTGAATTATTATGCCTAAATGATATCTATGAAATTGCTCCAATTAACAACATTTTATTATCGAAAGTGAAAAAGTGCCATGAGTGAGGCTTTGTTTTAGTGAAAGGAAAGGCCTGAGGCTGAGGACTACAATGTCTCTAACATGAATAATGTTATATGATTGGTTCTGGTTTATTATCATTTTATTTTGAAATATCTTAGAAATGAGTTTATTCTTGTTATATTTCCAGATCCCTCCCCGTCAATGAAATATTTGATATAAATATAGTATCAGGGATGTCCTAAAAAAGAAAGAATCTAGAAAGTGAACATCGGAACAAGAATAAACCATTTGGTTTGTTTTCATGTCTTACCCCTCCACTTGCAGAAAGAGATTAAGTGGTTTTCTTAGAATCTTGTTGATTACCATAACTTATGGAGCATTATTTATCTGTACAGATATTTTGTATGACTCGTGGTCGCCAGCTATGACTGTGAGTTCGATTTGCATCAGCATTCTCTCCATGTTATCAAGCTCGCCAGCCAAGGTTTGTTCACTATAAAGTGCAACTCTTTTGGTTCTTGCACTTGAACATGTTTGGTTGCACTTAAAAATTACAACTTCTGGAAAGTAATGTAAGATAGCTTTATTATATAAAAGTATGTTTGGTTGGTAATTTTTTTGAAAATCAACTTTGGCACAAAAGTCAACTTCTAAGTTAAGTTTTTGCAACAATCTATTTGAACCTAGAAGGTTAATCTTCTGAGTTGTTTTCTTATGCAGCAACGTCCGGCTGACAACGATCGCTATGTGAAGAACTGTAGGAATGGAAGATCTCCAAAGGAGACGAGATGGTGGTTCCACGACGATAAAGTGTAATAACTTAATTAGCTGAACCCCATAACACCAACTCGTGTATGAGGTTGTCAATGTTGTATTTCGTCTCTTTGGAAAAGAGAAGGGACTGAAGATACTGTAAAAAGGAAAGAGGAAAAATCCATTTTAATTTCAATTACTCTAAATGACGAGGCATCAAAAGAACATTTAAAAAGCTGCTGTAGGCTATTATGCCATTGTGGTCTGGATTATTAAGTGATTTTAAATGAGGTAAATGTGCTTTACCTTTGCCATATTTGTGATTATCTGAGATTTAATTGCCTTTTCTCAACTTGTTTAGTGTTCATTTGCCCATGTTTTACAACCAGATTTTAAATCCTTATTTTTCCGTTAAGCACTTATTTTCAGATATGCATTTACTCCATAAAATATTTTGCACGAAAATTCAAAATTTTTCCTTACTTTTAAATCATATATTCTACTAAAAATCATTATTTAAAATATTATTTTCATCAAATAATGATGATCAAACAAGAGCCGGGGATGACAGTATTTAGTCATGAATGATACGACTTAGTCGGTGATGTCAGTTCACTTGGTGATCATTGAAGGCATATTTGTATGCATGCTTGTCAAAGCTCATAATTATTCATAAAAAAGTCGAGGTTTATTTTTATTCACGCATTCCATATGATTTACAACTTTTACCCATTTAAAAAATATTGTAATTTTTGAAAAACATGCATTTATTCTAGCTAACTTTGAGGAGGATAATGGTGAGAGGGCTGTAAAGTGTAAACCGAGCTGTGTAGCTTGGTGTATAAATATCTAAACCCTTGATATAGTTAGATGTAGGGTGACATAAAATATGAATTGGCCTATGAAATTTAGCTGGATTTTTTTCTTCTTCTTATAATATATTTACCAATATTTTAGACTAATTTTATTTACATTGTATTTTTATGGGATGTAAGTAGGTTTATGTTGACTCATGTTTATAAATATTCAAATCACTCTTTATGTACATATTTTCAGACTTGTAAATATCATTCACTTATTTATCATATATTTCTATCAATATAATTTAAACCGTTTATAAAAACTTTTTAAACATTATTTTAATTATACAGTTCCTTTTTAAGTTTTTATTTTATTATTCTTTCGGTTGTATAGCAGTTCATTTTTATGCTTTATTTTATTATTATTTTTTTCAATAATGGCCCGTTTGATTTCAAAGATGAAATTGAATTGAATTGAAAACGAATTTCAGGGAATTAAATTATCTAAAAATTGTTTTCCTGGGAATTGTAAATTAGAGTCCGTTTGATTGTAAAAATGGAATTTGGGTGGAAAGAAAATGAATTCCAGAGAATTGAATTACTTAGAAATTGTTTTTTCGGGTATTGTAAATTATTGTGTTTGATTGGTACAATTTTTCATGTGGAAAATGTTAAAATAAAAGTGTTTTTGGTGTTCGTTTGGCTTTGTTTTATTTGAAAATTGTCAATTAAAGGGATTGAATTTACTGGTATTGGGGATGAAATTTATTTTCATTGCCAAAATAAAAAAAAAATCATCTATCTTTTAATGTTCGTTTGACTTTGTTTTACATAAAAATTGTCAATTAAAGAGAAATATATTTTTACAATAATTTTTAGAATTTATTTTCATTGTATAAAAAAAAATCAACAGTAACCGGGAAAATCAATTCCCACCATATACCCACAAAAGCAAGAAAAATGCAATTCTCAATAAATTCAAGGATTCCTATTCCACGGAAAATAAATCTCAATCAAAAACACCAAAGTTGGAAAATACCATCCAAATTCCATTTTTCATGGAAATAAATTGCCAATCAAACGATGCCTTATTGTGTTTAATTGGTATAATTTTTCAAGTGGAAAATATTGAAATAAAAGTGTTTTTCTGTTGTTCGTTTAGCTTTGTTTGACATGAAAATTTTCAATTAAAGGAATATATTTTACTAGTATTGGCGATGAAATTTGTTTCCATTGTCCAAAAAAAATTCAAGAAAATCATCTATCTTTTAGTGTTCGTTTGACTTTGTTTTATATGGAAATTGCCAATTAAAGGAAAATATTTTTTTACAATAATTCTTAGAATTTGTTTCCATTGTTAAAAAAAAAAAAAAAAAATTGCTACAGTAGACTGAAAAATGAATTCTCACCATTCATTTCATCAAAAAGCTAGAAAATGTCTAGGTGGCATCCAAACCAAGAAAAGGAATTCCATGGAAAATTTTGTGGTATCAAACATAAAAACGGTGGAAAATGTTCAAATATTTTCCAAATTCCCTGGAACTCATTTCCTATCAAACATGGCCTAAATACCCAACTAAAACATAAAGAAACAATGCCTTTGAACAAAATAAGTTAGAGTATAAGTTTCAATAAGGGTAAAAAATTGAGGACTGACCGTGCAAATTCCACTATTTAATTATTCAAAACCTCTTAGGGCTCGTTTGATAGGAATTTTGAGAATTGATTTTTTGACCGTTAGAAGAAAAGTGGGGTCCACATGTGAGAGAAGAAGTCAAAAATTACGGCTTGAATAGTAAAATAACGATCAAAAAATCAATTTTTTTGGACAAAAAATCCCTACCAAACGGGACCTTATTCCTAGTTGAATTTTAAATTTCTTATAGATAATTTCATGAGCAAATCTATTGTATTTATCGTGTAATAACTATAAATACGCAAATCAATTGAGCTCTCCACACCACAGCAACCAAAATAATTGATTACCAATGAGCTCATGTTCATGCTTTTCCACAATCCTCAAATCCCCGATTCTGATCCGTGAACCAAATTTCATTCCCCGATGGAATTCGAAAGTTTTCACTCTAAAACGCCATAGCCAAAATTTCAGTTCATGTATATGTTATACCAGGGTTCTTCATCAGGATCAAATTGAAGTTTTGAACCCCGATGACACCGTTGAGGAGCAAAACGCAGCCTTTGAGGGCCATGAAATTGCAAGTGGTAGGTTAAAAGAGGAGGAAGCTTTTAAAGAAGAAACTCGAAATCAAAATTCATCGGAAAAGAAGCGAAATGTAGGGGAAAAAGATAGTGATAGCCGGTTCAAATTGTGCAACGGAAGAGAGGTTGGTTCTTTTTCTTTAATCTAGGTTTTTAGTGAAGATACTGTTCTAACTGAGTGATTGATTTTACCAAGACATTAAACGGTTCGTTATTATATTATATTTAAGCAACATTATATTTACGCGTCCGGCAAGATGGTGACTGCGCCAATTTCGAAATCCTACTATTCGTCTGAGGTTTTTGAGCTCTTCTAAAATGTCCAGTTCTTGATGCAGTTCTCTCTTGAAAGGTCAAGTGATTATGATGCTTATATTTAAGTGACGTGGGATTTTTATCTTCAATAGGCCTTTTCTACTATTTGAAAATTTTAGACTGCAGTGGGTTTTGGTAAAATATTGCACTGGAAACTAACCAAAGATGTATAACAAGACTTTTAAGTGTGATCTATATATGTTAAAGTGGTGAATGGAAAAGAACAATACAGGTTTTTGAAGAGAAAGCATACATCGTTGGGGTTGCGAGAAAAGGTGATAGTGATGATTCATTTGGTATAGAGGAATCACTCAGTGAATTAGCACAGCTCACTGACACTGCTGGACTGCTAGTTGTTGGTTCTACTTATCAAAAGTATGTTGTATGAATGGTATATTAATTATTTTCTAATTTGTTGTTTTGTGGATTATATTTGATGTTGCATATGGTAAATGATATTTCAAAGATTGCGTTATTTGTGGTATTGCGTTGTATTTGGTGTAGACTTGCAACTGCAAATCCAAGGACATACATAGGATCAGGCAAGGTTGCAGAAATTAAGAGTGCAATTCATGCATTTGATGCTGAGACTGTAATTTTTGATGATGAACTATCACCCGGGTTAGTTTCTTGATAAATTTTTATGTCAATATTTAATGCTTAGATTTATTTTCCTTGTTGAGAAATTCCAATACCATTTCTTCTATTCTGGAAATGCTTTACCTTTGAAAATGCTGTTGAGAAAGTTTGATTTCCACCTGTGTGTGAAATAATCTTTTGATAAGAGCTCTAGCTACTCTCATGTGATGTAGGGGACAAGAGATGTAATTTTGCCAGAGCTCTCTCTCTTAGTTCATTGTGAGGGTTTATATGCCAGAGTTACTAATTTTTTTCCTTTTTATTTTAAATGTACAAGACAGGCAATTGCGTAATTTGGAAAAGGCTTTTGGTGGAGATGTTAGGGTGTGTGACCGCACAGCCCTCATCCTTGATATTTTCAACCAGCGAGCTGCCACCCGTGAAGCTGCTTTACAGGCAATTTATTTTAATGCTAGAGTACAGGTCATACGAAGCTTTCCGTATGTTGACACTAAAAAGAAAGAAAAAAAATTTCAGGTCTCCTTGGCGCAAATGGAATATCAGTTGCCACGGTTAACAAGGATGTGGACCCATCTTGAGCGTCAGGCTGGAGGCCAAGTAAAGGGTATGGGTGAGAAACAAATTGAAGTGGACAAGCGTATCTTGCGCACTCAAGTATGCTGCTTGCCTTCTGCTATTTTTTGTCAATTTTTCCTTAGATATCATTGAACCTAAACTCTCTCAGACTCATCTGCATTCACTTTCTATTTCTCATCTTTAATTGCAGTTTGTTCAGAGTCTATCTCAACAGATGCTTAATTCATATTGCAAACCTTGATAAGTAACTTATCTGTTATACTGTGAATATAAAGAATCCTAAAGCAGACCACCTGATTTTTATTCTGTCTATATTAGGAAGGCAGCTTTCTGAAGTTTTGGCTTTGCTTTTTCCGTAAATGTTGCGATTTTGTCACACTAGGAGGTGCTCTCAAGCTATTAGCTGAATGTAGTTTTTACTGGGTGTTTAGGTCACTTGTATTTCATCTATTGTAATATCTTATGTATGTTATGATTTCTTTGAGACTTGGTTACTCTAAGAAAATATATGTTTTACTTGTCATTAAACCTACAATTCTTTAAAATTGCATGTTATTAAGCTAACAAATATTATCATGTAAATAATACTGAAGTTACCTATTGCAATACTAAATCTTAGTTTTCTGTAATTGCATGCAGTATTACCTAATATTTAGTTTCCCTGTGATAGTAATGTTTCTATCTGAAATTTAGAATTACCAGTTGCATTTTGTCTTTTATGAGCACTTTGTAACCTGTATGCTTGACTTCCTTGCATCAGCCATATGCATACATGTGACATGCACTCTTTCTGGATTTTTCAGATTGGAGCTCTTAAGAAAGAGATAGAATCAGTCCGAAAGCATCGGAAACAGTACAGGAATCGGCGCACCGCAGTACCTGTTCCTGTTGTATCTTTGGTAGGGTATTACCTTAAGTATAAAAGTCTGCTTATAATGACAATTTGAATTTACCTCTACAAGTGTACTGGTCTAGGTTGGATATACAAATGCTGGAAAGAGTACACTTCTAAATCGGTTGACTGGGGCTGATGTTCTTGCAGAGGATAAGTTATTTGCAACACTTGATCCTACTACAAGAAGGGTACAGGTTAGGAAAATCCACTTGAAGAATTTGAGGGAAATTGGTTTAACATAGTAGTTTATATTCCCAATGAGATTATCATTTATCGATCTTCTTTTCAAGTTCTTTGTGAATCATCCTGACATGTAATACTACTTGTTGGCAGTGATGTGCATTCGACTTTGGGAATTCCATGTTTTAATGCTCACATTAGAGTAATATTTACTTACCTATAGCTGCTTTCATGGATGAATAAAATTTGCGTTGCATATAGCTGCTTTCATGGATGCATAATATTGCATTTATACAGCTTCCTGCTTACTATAAGTTATTTCATATGAATAACAGATTAATCTTTTTTCTTAAAAATTAGGTTTTACAATCAAATATGCTGATTTCACATTTGAAAACTTAATAAGTTGTTCTATGTTCTTCTATCTAGATGAAGAACGGGAAGGAGTTTCTTCTTTCGGACACTGTGGGGTTCATTCAAAAGTTACCAACGACACTGGTAAGTGTTGTCATTAATGTTGATGGATATGTCTTTCCTATGTATGGCGAGTTTGGGAAACATGTCTATTCTATTTGGTTGTTACTTCTTTATATCTGTTGAAATCAGAATCATACCCTTGCTCTTTTAATTGGTGCTTCTCACTATAGGTTGCTGCCTTTAGGGCAACTTTGGAAGAAATCTCTGAGTCATCACTTTTGGTGCATGTGGTGGATATTAGGTATGATAGATTGTTTGATGGATTAATTTGACCTAATGACATCAACGTATACTTATTAGTCTATTGCTATGTCATTCAGCCATCCACTGGCAGAACAACAGATAGAGGCTGTGGACAAAGTTCTTTCAGAACTTGAAGCGTCATCAATCCCAATGTTAATGGTTTGGAACAAGGTAGTGATATTTTTCTGGTCACCAATTTTTAAACTTGTGTCTTCTGGAATTATTGTTGACATCCTCAGTATTAGTCTACTTCAAAACTTCATATGGACGTGTGAGAATTTCCTGACAGATCACTTATTACTATATTAGAGAGGCAGCACGATAGGCCATAATAAAATCACATAATCAAGCCGAAGAGGTTCTTGAGGAGGCATGTTTATGGACTAACTAAAACAACAAGAAGAAACCTTCAAAGAGGAAATTTACTTCAATTTCTTTATATAAGAACATGGGCCTTTTGATCATTACACTTGGTGGTAG